CACTATGTAAAACAGAAGGGAACATGTTAATGTTGTTGTATGGAATCGTTACCAAAAGATAAAAAAAAAAAAATGATGGAAGAAACTATACACGCGTCAGCGAGACAAAATCGGCTGTCTTCCATTCCGATTTCACTTTAAGCCACGTGTCGACCATTCATAAGGAAACCAAACATCATAGTAATATAAAAGAAATTAAGGACTTGTTTGTTGAAGAAGATATGATAGGATAACTTATCATATCCTACTTTCATCTCTTGTTTGGTGGGTTAATGAGATATGATTAGCTTATCCTATTATCTCATTTTATCCTATCAAATACATGATTTTTTATCCTATGGGGGGAGCTGGGTCATGATTTAATATGATAGGATACTAATATTGGATACCTAATATATCGCACGCTACCCAATATATTTGTATTTATTGTATTATATTTTGTTTTTTTTCTTTCTTTTTTCTCCTTCTACATAATCTTATCAGATTGCTAATCAGGTGTCATCAAACTCAGGACATGATATAGGCTTATCAGCCTCATATCATATCCTACCCTTATCAGCCCTATATCATATCCTACCTTTATGTTATCATGTCCACCAATCGAGCCATATGTTTACAATAGCTTTTCTTATAATTATTGAAGGGAGAGGTTAAAGTTAATATCTTTATTTTTTATTATCCTTTATTATTAAATTTTAACAGTTAATTTTTATTATTTTAATGATTATAATTTATTAATTCATACTTATTAATTAACAGAAATTCACAATTAAAATTTGATAATAAGGAATAATGAAAAAGAGAGATAATAAGTATAAACCAACAATTCTCATTTATTATTATTTTGTAACAGTTAATTTAATTTTCATATAGTAAGCATAAGAATGATTATAAGAGACGGTGAGAGAAAAGAGACTTTGAATATAAGCAATAAGCTGATGCTATATATATTATATTAGTTTTCTATTTTCTTTTCTTGGCCTTAGGGCATAGGCCCTTGTTGTTGCTGGTTTACTCCTCCACCAAAACACTCCAACCCCACCCACACACTGTACTGAGCAACGACACTGAACGAAGCAGCATTGTTCTTCAAAAAGCGAAGAGAGAGAGAGAGAGAGAGAGTGAGTTCATCTTATTCTCAATATTTCTCATAGACCACACGCATACACTTGTACACACAGACATGGGACCATTGTACTGCGCTTAAAATTTGAGCTTTTTCGTGGACGACAGGATCCGAGTATGCCGCTTAACTCTTCCCTCTCCATATACTTCTCCTTCACGTTTATTTTTCTCTCAAACTCTCTTTATCATCTTCTTATTCCTCCCTCACCTTTTCTTACCTTAATTGCTCTTCCTTCTATCTCAACTCTCCAACAGTCTCATGGAAATGGAGGATCATCATCATCATCATCATCATCACCATGAACAGAAACAGTATGGCATCGCTGATCTCAGGCAGCTTGTGAATGGACCAAGACCAACCCATTTCCCGTCAATACCAGCGCAGCCCACGGCGGAGCTCTTCCCCGCCGGTCACCCGAATCTGACAGCCACACATCACCAACAACACTATGAGATGATGATGTTTGGTCGTCAAGTAGCTGACATAATGCCTCGTTGCCTTCATGACTTTGCCTCCACCGATTCTGCGACAACTGCTGCAGCCGTAACCACCAATACTAACATAACTGTAGCAACTCCAACCACCACAACTAGTGCTTCAACTCCTCCCCTTAGTGGCTTAGAAGCTGAGACTGCAGGCTGCATAGGTGTTGATGCCTCCACCGGAAGATGGCCAAGGCAAGAGACTCTTACTCTTCTTGAGATCAGATCTCGTTTGGACCATAAATTCAAAGAGGCTAATCAAAAGGGGCCACTATGGGATGAAGTTTCTAGGTACATATTTTTTTTTTTTTTTTCCATTTTTCTTGTTCTTGTTCTTCTTCTTCTTCAACAGTTGTCTCTTCTGTTTTCAACTTGTTTCTTAATTGTTTGTTTGTTAATTTGGGTTTGAAAAAATAGGTAGAGAACCAACTGAATTCAATATCCATGTTGCTTCTTGACAATTTCCTAGTTAGATGACTGCACTTGGTTTTAATTTGGTCACTGCGCTTTCTGGAAACTCTGATATATGGCAGTATGCAATTTTTTTAAGCCTCTTTCTCTGGAAATGACTATACACTGATCGTTTCTCTACTCAATTTTCGATTATTGATCGTGTACTTGTAAGTGTTTAGGTTCGTATACCAAAACTAGTATGGTTCTTCCACTGTCCCCCCCTTTCATTTTTGAAATTTTGTCCGCTCTTTTAAGTGCAAGTCTTCCCTTTTATCACTTAGTTTTTCCTTTTTTTAAGAAAAAATAAAAATCATTGAACTTTCGGATGCTTTTAGCACCTATCTTTATTCTTATTCAATATTTTGGAATGACATCAACAAGAGGCTCTTCCTTCGAAAACTCATTTCTAAAGCAATTTGAATGACCATTTGCTTAGTTGTATTAGCTAAAACTAGTTAGCAATAATATATAAAAACGTCAGTGCATGACATTGTATAGCATTTTTTTTATTTTTATTTTGAAAGCTCATCGTCACATGGGGTTCTACTAGGGTTCCAACTGTAACATCGAGCTCAGTTCTTAGCCTTTTGCTGTTTTCTTCCTTCCCCACTTTGTTTTGCTTATTTTGATGTTCAGGATCATGTCAGAAGAACATGGATATCAAAGGAGTGGGAAAAAGTGCAGGGAGAAGTTTGAGAACCTGTACAAATATTACAAGAAGACAAGGGAAGGAAAGGCAGGAAGACAGGATGGGAAGCACTACAGATTCTTCCGTCAACTTGAAGCCTTATATGGTGAAAATAGTAACCAAGTCTCAGTCCCCGAAACCAATTTTGGTAGCAGCAGCCTTCGTTTCCAGACAAGCAGCCATGCCCCTTCACAAACAAATCAAGATAAGTTTCATTCTCACAAGCATTGTGATAGCCTCAGCCTCACTAACTCCACTGACTTCAACACCTCTTCATCTGATGACAATGATCATAGCACTGAGGGACTGAAGGACAATGATTCCATGGAGAAGAGGAGAAAGAGGATGAGTGGAAGGAGCTGGAAGGGGAAGATTAAAGACTTCATTGACTCGCAGATGAGGAAGCTGGTGGAGAAGCAAGAGGAATGGTTGGATAAACTCATGAAGACACTGGAACAGAAGGAAAAGGAGAGGGTGTTAAGAGAGGAGGAATGGAGGAGACAAGAGGCAGAAAGGTTGGAGAGGGAGCACAGATTTTGGGCTAAGGAAAGGGCATGGATTGAAGCAAGGGATGCCGCTCTAATGGAGGCTTTGCAAAAATTAACAGGAAGCGATATAAAGACTCAATCTATTGAGGGTCTAGTAGCAGTTGGAATTCAAAACCGCAAAGAAAACCAGAATGAAGATGGAAGTGAAATACTAAATAGCACTGCCAAATGTACTGAAAGCTGGCCAGAATCTGAGATTACAAGGAATGCCAAGGACGGAAACAAGAAGCGGAAGGAAAACTCTAGAAGTTGTTTTTACTTCGATAACAATGACCATTCTTCACTATATGATCAAGGAGGTAGTGCTTATTGTGATATCAATGATCAAAGGCAAGAGACTGGGAGGCTACAAACAAATGATGGTTCTTCACCTTCAAATTCTAATGTTGGAAATGCAGTTGCTGCTGATAGCTGCTTTCCCTTCTTGATGAGTGAAGGAGGAAATTTGTGGGAGAATTACAGCTTGAAGGTTAATAAAGCAAACCACAACCAGTGAGTGAAATAAGGTTGACTCGTAAGAGACACGAATATTTCACAGCCTTTTATCTGAATATATGATTTCACATTATGTAAGCAAGAGCTAACTGAGGGTTTATGTATAGAGACTGATGATGATTATTAAGATGGTCAATCTTAAATGGGAATTTAGGAGAAAAATAATGTGTTCATGTCATATAAGTTTAATTAACGAGGGAGACATATTGGCAAATATCACTGAAGTGTTGGGGTATGACACTAATTCAGGTGAGTTTCTCTTGTGTCAGATTTTCTTTTATGCGTGCAAATGGAATGTAAATTGTATTATTTCATATGTTGCATCTTTGATGATATTTATATCAGTTGGTCACTATCTTTCTCCTTCCTCCCTTGTCTTGCTTCTTTTTGTGTAATTTGGGGATATTTAACAGTGCAGGCCTTTGGTGTTCAATTATGTACCGAAGGCCTGTAATTAAGATAGCAATTTCATTACCTTCATACCACGTACGGTGAAAAGCTATATTTTATGTTAAAGGAAAATAGAAAGAGAAAACAGAAACTAACATCAAATTGTATATTCCATCTTCTATTAGTACATTTTGTTGCTTGATAGGTCACCAAAATGACCATACTTACGGCTGGCTTGCACTAGAATGATCAATAAATATCATCCAGCACTAGAATGACCATACTTACGGCTGGCTTGCACTAACATCAAGTTGTTGCTTGGGGGATTTAAAGGTTTAATCTCGGGACTCGTCCCGAATCAGACTAGTCGTGAAGCGATGAATCGATTTGAATATCTCCAAATATATATATATATATATGATGTAGGATCATTTGAGACCTCATCTGAGAGTCGTTAGATCAAAAAAGATCAACAACTCTAAGCATGTGACACCATTGATCTTTTTTGATCTGACGACTATCAGATAAGGTGTCAAATTTCAAATTTGACACCGGGTGGATCCTACCCCTCTCTCTCTCTCTCTCTCTCTCTCTCTCTCTATATATATATATATATATATATATATATATATATATATATATATATCATCCAGCAAAGTAACATGTCAGCACAGAAACACACTAGCGATACAGTTCCCAGTTTTACTGTGTGGTCCTAGCTGCCTGTGATATATAGAACAACAAGCGAGAAGCAAAATCGTTGACCATAGTGCATTTGGCAGACCTCTTTTGCGGTCATTTGTTATGGTTGCTTGAGAATAATAAGAATAATAATAATAATATGTTGATATAGAAGTAGAACTAAAGGTGCAGAGGTGAGTTCTAAGTCCAATAACCTTTCCTTCTAGCATAATTTACGGTTTAAGGAAGCTTGTGCTGCTACATGATCATATGTAATTAGTAATATAGAAAATAACATGCACAAAAGTAAGCATCATAAGATGAAATTTTCATAACACTACACATTTAAAAGGTGATTTTTGGAGAGTTCCCTTGAATAAGTGAAGAATAACGTGTACCCTATCTTGACAGATAAGTGGTCTTTTGACCTCATATATAAAGATTAAACCCTACTCAACGCGTCCTGCATATGCCATTGAAACGTGAATCCATCATTAATACATTATGAAGTCATGAGTCAGAGAAATAACCCCAAACCCCTAAGCAAATTATCTATTTTCTTTTATCTTTATAGCAGTAGTATGACAGAGGACCTTTTCTGCAGTCTAACATTTTCTTGCATTGTAAGGCCGGTGTTACTGGCACTATTACTGCTACTACACACTCTGATACACATGCATTACATTACTGATGCCTGGACACGCAGTGTCCGTACCTGGGAAAGAGTAAAGAAGTTTCCTACTAAAGGAACCCAAACACGGGTTACGGAGACATATTCACAGTCATTGTCATCAGTATCACACACACGCCTTTCCTTTCTCCGTCAGCTTTTTTCCTCTCTCGAACCCTCCTTCCTTGCTTTGTCTCTACACTTAGAGACAGAGATAAGTAATTAGGCAGTCAAAGGAAGCCAAAATCACGTCACATGTTCAATAATGGAAAGATGACACCAAATTAAATTAAATTTATATAACAATGTGCTTTTTTTTTCTCTGATGCCACTGACATGATGACTACTTATTCAGTTGCAATTCTGACTTCAGCAACTTGCTTTTATTGATTTTGGGGTTGTAAAAGGCAACCATTATGAATCATCTCAACCATAATTAACAAAGGAAAAGATCAATTTACAAATTTTTTTGACAAGTTTTTACAAAAAATTTCTCCCAGGAGAGAATATAGTGAAATCTAGTGTTCTCCCAGAAGAAAATAATGTCGTCGATAGAAATTCGTAAATAAATTTTTTTATAAATATAACCATCCCCATTTAAAAATATGAAATAAGGTTCTGACTTCTAAGTGGCCGCGAGAGAGGGATGCTTCCTTATGCATTGGTGTCTAGACAAGGGTGATTAATAGGATAGGCCAAACATAAGCTACCCTATCGTAGCCACTGAAAAAACTCAGCCCAAGGGTGATTAAAACGTGTTTTGTTTTGTCTTTTTCAGGGAGTGACTAAAGAGTGCATTTGACCCTCTGTTATAGTAATTGTATGATTGAATACGGTCCACAACTTCACAGGGCGCAAATTTAAATTATAGAGACGAAATCCCCTTTACGGGGACATGGGTCTGCAGTATCACCCAATAAATGAGGGTGAAGTAGTACCACTTATAATGGTAATTGGACTATACAAGGTGTTATTGGAACTTACAAAATGCATGGGCTTTCAAGTTGCAACATCAAGATTTCCCATCTTGGGCTCCCAACTCTTCGGCTAAAACCCAACTTCGTAATTGACGAGAATCCCAATCAGCCCAGCCAACACTACTAAGACAAAAAAGAAGAAGCCCTTAACAGTTCTAGGCATGAACAATGAATACTTTACACTATCCTCGGTGTCATTCCAGCTTTATCTCCAATTCAGGAAAAGCATACAGCGTATGCTTTTTTCCCTCGCCTTATCATAAGAGCGTAAATTTATATGATGGTTCAAGAAAAAGAAAAAGAAAAAAAGCCACTGTTCTCTACAATAGAAAATAGAGGAAAGTCTACAAGAATCAGTTCCAGACATGATCATTCACGTGAGATTCCCACAAACGAACGAGCTTTAGATACGACGTACACCCAATTATGGCAGTTCAATTGATTCAAGGGAACTGAATGGGTGGATAAAAAGCTCGATTCAATCCCCACTAGTGTCATCTTAGATAGTGACATAAAATTTTAATTCTTAATCCGTTCCATACTTGCAATTAGTCCCATACCCCGCCCTATACTTGCGATTAGTCACATAACCGGTTCAAAGTGCCGTACTCCATGAGCTTACACCACAAATAGGTAATTATATTGGTATAAAAAAAAAAAATCGACGCTACAACAGTAGCAAACTGTTAAAACATCAACCATCAGTAACGGAACTAAAGAATCAGATTGAAACTCGTTAATTGATCCAAAGATTAAAGTGTGTCCCAAAGTAAACGAATAAACCCGTATTCTAACCTACCAATGGTAGATAACTCATACTTTTGCCTAGATAGTTGCTGTTTAAGCCCACTGCATAAGGCTTTAAACCGAGTTCATAAATTAAAATTATAAGAAAACCCTATTTTAGTCTGAAAGATACTCATGTCATTAAATTTAATCCCTAGACTAGTCTATCAATTTAATTTCTTAAAGTTTAAATATATAATATTTGAGTCCCTCCTTCGAGTCTAGTCATTATAAGATGCCAAATTAAAATCAGGAAGTATCTTTTGAGGTACTAAAAGGTAACTTTGAATTGAAAAGGTAACTTTCAATTGAAAAACTTCTTTCATTCAAAATGGGTTTAGTTTTATGCATACGCTGCTAGCAATATGCTTTTTTTCCAGATCCAAATTGCATTGAAAAAAGAAATGACACTTGTCCATAATAGAGCAAAACTCAATCAGGAAAACCGAAGGAAGAATTATATAAAAAAGAGGGGGCTGGGGGACCAATACCAAACTAATGTAGGTTGGAGTTGGAGCTATTATTCTTTAATCCATAAAACTACGAAGACCAAGAACGGAAAGCAAAACAGTCAAGTCAAAACCTATAAAAGAGCACCAATATGATGGTGCCAATAATGCGAAAATCTCCAAAAGAAGCTCACTCCATTTTTAGTATTTGTAGTCCTTGACATGGAGAGACTCAGAGGCACCCTCACCAAGGGCAGCATCACCCTTGTAAGTCCCCAGGGTTGCTTGTGAGTTTGCCTTGCACCTCGTGATGAATGCATCCTGGGCCTTCTTAATGTTTTCATCCTTCCCGGCCCATGTCTTGAGAGTGCTCTGCTGAAGTGCCCTTCCAAAAGAGAAAGAAAGAGACCATGGCTTCTTTCCCTTGAACTTGTTCATGGCATTGAGGTTAAGGGTTGCCTGCTCTTCACTCTGCCCACCAGACAAGAAGACCACAGCAGGTACTGCAGCAGGAACAGTTCGCTGCAAAGCTCTAACAGTATATTCAGCTATCACCTCTGGAGCCACTTTTGGAGACTCTGAACCAGGGGTCACCATGTTAGGCTTCAATAGAGTTCCCTCAAGCAGAACATGGTGATCATTTAGAGCCTTGTAGCATGCAGCAAGAACACGCTCAGTCACCTCAGCACATTTGTTGATGTCATGAGGTCCATCAACCAGGATCTCAGGCTCCACAATAGGAACCAGACCATTCTCCTGGCATATGACAGCATAACGAGCCAGACCATAGGCATTTTCATGGATAGCCAGCTCAGATGGTTCACTGGGGCCGATCTTGAGCACAGCACGCCATTTAGCAAAACGGGCACCAGCTTCATAATACTTCTGGCAACGCTGACCAAGGCCATCTAAGCCCTGCGTAGTGGTTTCCCCATTGGTTCCAGCAAGCTCTACAGTTCCCTTGTCAACCTTGATACCAGGAAGAACTCCACCTTCCTTCATCAACTCTACGAAGGGTTTTCCTACAATAAATTACATCAAGTTCAGGAACTAACTAAAACTGAAAAAAAGGGTAAGTTAGAAAAACTCTTTCAATAAATAAACACATAATAAAGGTGTAAGTAAGATGTTCATTTATTGCTCATAAGAAGATCTTTAACATTTACAGCAATATATCTTCAAAATATCATAAATACTAAGCATCAGTACCTGCAGCTGTCTTTTGGTATAGAGTTTCCTCAAACAAAATCACACCACTGAGGCACTCAAAAGCACCAGGACAGGTGAATAGGAGTTCACGAAGGGCACGCCTATTCGTTTCAACATTCTCAACATTAATGCTGGACAAACGCTTGCCAATTGTACCAGTTGACTCATCAGCAGCAAGGATACCCTTCCCTGGGGTGCCAATGTAAGCAGCATTGGCAATGAGTTCATCTGCAATTCATGCAAATTCATTAGAACATTTCCCAGCATAACATATAAATTTTGAACCCAACCATATCACATTAAGAGAAAATTTTCATTTCAAACTGAAATGAATAAATCAACAAGAAAGAGAAGGGAGGACAAAATAAACAATTCCTGACAGTTATTTACCTTCCTAAGCAAAGAAAAAATGTCAAATTGTTGAATTAAAGAGTTAAAGTTTTCCGTAGAATGCAAAATTAATGAGTTGAATTACTTTAAAGGGTACCAACATTTCTGAATCTTTTTAAACAGGTTTGTGCAACATAATTACTCAACAACCCAGATCTAAAGTCATGACAGACATCACGAAACCAAAACAAGATCTAAATCTTACTTAGAATACAGATAGTTGATCCTATTTTTTATTCTTAATTATTCATGTTTACATAGATAATCCCAACCAAAGGGCATAATGTGAATTTAAGTAAGGAGAGTTTAAATTTTTCAATGCAAAAATATCAGATCGGAATATATAAATATAAAGTTTTTTTTTTTTTTTGGGGGGGGGGAGGGGGTTATCTTGGATCACTGGAGTATGAAGCAGAGTCAAACAGATAACAAAACAACCATCGAGATTAGAAAATAGCGGAATCAGCATAACAAAACTACTAGCCTAGTATTGCAGCATAACTGTTCAACCACAATCGACCAAAGACAACAAAGCAGATCGGAGAAATCAAGGGAAACACGAGAAACATATATGACAAGAGATTAAGAATAGTGATCACGATGAATGAAACGACAGATGATAGAGTACCTTGGTATTTGCTCTTGAAGGAAGACATGATGGGTTGAGCAGTGAGATTTAGAGAAAAAAACAAGGGTTTTGTTTTGTTTGACGAATTGAGAAGATGAAAGAAAGAATGGAGGGTTTAAAAACAAATGTGAGAGTGGGACGGTTATTTATGACAGTAAGCTAGGTGGAAAGGGTAGGTGAGTTATGGTTCTGACGGTCTATATCTATAATATGGTATTTGTTAGGCTTATGCCTCAACTGATTTGATCTATTATTACGATAAGTTATTCAACTTATTATTTTTTTTTTATATTTGATTATCACTTTAAAATATCGTTATATCATAATCTTAATTAACGTTTATTTTTTTCTTTCTTCTTAAGATTATGATCTAACAGTGTTGGAGGGTGATAAGCAGAAAAAATAGTAGATAGAATAACCTATCCCATTTTTTAATAAAAAGATTTGTATTTTTAAAAAAACTTTATTTAAAAAGATAATAATTACTCTAGTGATAAGAGATTTCTAATATTGCCATTACGCTACAAATCTTAAAAATATTAATACGGGTGTCGATTAAATTATAGAATTATTAACTATATATTTGTTAATTTAAAAAGCATTAGGCCAATAATTTTTTTTTAGAAAAGACATGCAGACGGAGGCTTATATACACTGGCGGAACGACATGGGGGCTAGGGATGGCCCCTTCTCCCCTAAAACTCTTGGAAAAAATTTTATATATGGATGCTTGGGTGAATTATTGAGGACAAGACAAGCACAAGTAATGTGGATTACAAAAATTGCTGACGAGTGCATGGATAGTGGCAATTAGAGAAGTTCATGGTGCTTCACTGTGAGGTAAATGAGAAGCCACATAGATAAAAAAGATTTTGAAAACATAAACCAAACAAATAAAACAATAATTAATAATTGATAAATAATTAAATAAGATATAGTAGTAGAAACACTTCGACAGAAACTGTTGAATGGTTCAAATTAAAAAATTTAACTGTGTAAAATAAGACAAAAATTTAAAAATATAACCATTGTCTTATTTTTATAACCATTGTCTTATTAAAAAATAAAACCATTTAGATCTATATGATATAAAGCCGAATATGAATTGACAAAAATATAATATATATATATTAAGGCAAAAAATCACGACACATTTTATAATATAGTAATTTCATTCAAAATATATTGTTAGAAATCATATTCGTTTTATATTTTATAGTAAATATTTTTATTTATAATATAATATTTTTGTTTTCGCCCCCCGTCATATTAATTTCTGGGTCCGCCACTGCTTATATAGATTCATGAAAAGTTGAAAGCGAAGGGGCAAAGGTAAATAACCCGTAGGTCTCTGTAACCAGGCTCTGCTATTATAATAGAATTTTCATTGAACTGATTTTTTTGTGATTTGTCATGAATCTTCCTATAAATGCAAATGAAGAGCATTACATAAATGAATAAAACAGTTAGAGACGTTTCGTTGAGGAGAAATTTTACGAATAATAGGGAAATGTTATTGATAGAGAAATGGGGAGAAGTTAGTTTGGTAGGAAAATGTAAAAACAATTTGTTTGGTTAGAAAAAAATTCACCTGGGAAATTAGGTAACATTTATAAAGTCTATGTTTGGCTGCAGGGAAAATATAGATGGGAAAAAAATTGCAATTACGAAAATAACCCTGTTTTAAAATTTGAAATGAATCAAGATGCTACCCTTTACCCGTAAAAGTTGTTATTACGACAATATCTTAGCGCTTTAGGAGGTATTTTCAGTTGCTTTATTTTTTCATTGCAATTTAGCCGGCTATCCTCGGAAAACCACGTCCAACTTCTCTTTCTAAAGAGTGCAGATGGCTAGCTTTCTAAACCAAATGGGGAAATGCTATGCAAATGGCATAGATGGGCAACTTTTATGAATCTCTCTACCAAAGAAGGAGATTGTGTTTTGCCAAGTTGATTTACCTAGGGAAATTTCAAGATCTCCTCGACCAAATAGCACCTTATACAAAATTATAAAATACAAATAGTAACCTCATGATTCAGTTATCACTTTGCTCTCCAGCAGTGGAAGAGTAGCTCGAGAGTCTCGCTTAGTGACTCGGATTCGAGCATGGTTACAAAAGAATTGGAAAGTTCACATGGTTCATGTTTTTAGAGAAAGAAATAGTTGTGCAGATTGATTTTCTAAATATCCTTTAGACTATCCTGTTGAGAATAATTTTTTTGTTTTCTCAAACCCTCCCCCTAGTATTTGGCCTTTGTATTGAGCTGATTTGTCTTTATCTTGTAATTTCAGAATGATTTTATTGAATTGATCTCTTTTGGAGTATTACTGTTAACCTTCTTATATTACCAATATATATATATATATATATATATATATATATATATGATCCTAGTCACCCTATAATATGATCATATCTTACCAGGAGGAATGGATGGGGATTGGGAACAGTCATGACTCAAAAAGTCCCCTGGATGTAATTAAGAAAACAAAAAATAAATTAAAAATGATAAAATGGCCATTAGAAATGCTGTTTTTATCCTCCCCAGTAAAGAAATACTATTTATTTGGGTGTTTGGTTTCGAGTTTGACATTGCGTTGAATTGAAAAATACTAGAATAAGAGAGTGACAGGTATACCGTATAGCACTATAGCACAATACATGGAGTTAGGTTTTGGCTTTGGGTTTTTTGATTTTTGATTTTTTAAAGTAGGACCTTCCGTTCTCTAGCTGCATTGCTATTTCAATTCACGTTATGTCCGTGGTTCGCCTCGTGACCCTTTTTACCCACCCGTCTTTCTCTTGCTTTTTGTTGTTTTTCATTTCAAGGTTTAAAATTTGGACACAAAAGTACAAAAAAATAAAATAAAATTTGGACAAAAGGTATAAATTCACAATGAAAAAGGGTAAATATAAAAAGTAAGTAAAAAGAAAGCCACATGATTTTTCTTTATTTTCAAACATAAAAGTCTTAAAATGAGTTTAGGGAAGAGAGAAAAAAAAGGTTATCTTTCATTGTCTCATTATATCAATATAACCAAAAAAACAAGCGAACTCTAAAACTGATCAAATAATTAAATAGCGTGGACCTAAAACTGATCTTTTTCTTCTTATTGATCCACTGCTCATACATGTTAATGATCGTGACTTCATATTATTTAATCTCTTTGTAATTTCTTATTTATTTATTAACGGTTGCTTTTCTTTATTCCCTTCATGGGTTAGGTGTTAATAATGGAGTACATTAAAGGGATTTTGTCTCATAAGAACAGAAGCGAAGAAATAATTAACATTTAAAAATGGGTGCAGTTTACTCCTTTTTTTTTTTTAGTATAACTCAAAGACATCTTCGACTAATAGTTGAAGACTAATTTTCTCCAGGCGTAAAGATCATCGAACATTTTCCATACATACGGAACTCATAAAATTTTATTTATGTCTATATAGGGCTACCCCGATTTTTTTTTAAATAAAGTTTTAAATGTATTAAAAAATAAAATAATATAAATAAGTGATCTTTTTAAAAAATTTGGATACTCAACAAATATTACGAGGTCTAATTTAATCATTTAACAAAAAAGTCTACTCGTGGTCCCTTTAAAAATTAAAATAGATCCATGTTAGTCCTTTTTAGAGAGAATAACATGGATTTTATGTGAATTCCAGAGAGACCACAATTTTGACCAATTGAGTTTATTCTGGAATTAAGAGAGATCACAAGTCGACTATTTTTTTTAAGGGATTAAATTGAGCTCCATAATTTTGGTTAAGGACTCAAAAGGTACTTTACATTCCCCCCACCCCCAAGATTTGTGTATGCATTTGTAGACATTGGCACAAGTGCAGGTCCGCCTTTGTATACGGCCAGAAATCGAACCCTTGTCAGCATACTTAAAGAACCAATTATCTAACAACTGTGTCGAACTTTGCTGATCTTAAATCCTTTTAGCTCCTAACAAATTGTTGTTTTCTTCAACTCCGTAACGTTTGGCTGAATTCAATGCATGAACATTGATGAATGATGCATGATAATTATATGCATTATATGAGGCATACGTATAATTTAAACAGCTAAGAAAATTGTTATAAAAAAAAAAAAAAAAAAAAAAACAGCTAAGAAAATACACAACAAAATTATTAAGCAATTGTGCTTCTGTTTTTTATTAAATTGTTTTATTTTTTTTAACTCATGTTCACTCTTATTAATTTGTCTAATGCAAGATAAATAAGAGCTTGTAATGTAAGAAAAATTTAATTTAATTTATAGTATAAAGTTTTCCCATTTTTTTTTACTTATTTGACGTATGATTATAGTATAAAATGATATTTTTCCCCATTTACTAGTTTATTGTGAAACTAAACCAAGTTAAAAAAAGTTTATATTAGCATAATCCTTTAAATTAATACATGTTGTAAAATAATTAAGGAAAAACTTCAAAAAAATTCCTATAAGTTTTCTCAAAATCACTTATTCTCTTCTCTAAAATTTTTAATCATTTATCCCCTATTTAAAATATATTTATCACTTACTCCCCTAATTGATTTTCCATCCAAAATTTTGTTAACAAAGTAAAAAAAATTTAAAAAATTCTAAAACTACCCTTAATAACAAAAAAAAAAACGTGAGAGACCTCTGTTGTCTACCACTAAAAAACGAATCACCCCAAATTACTATATTTTATTACACTGATACCTTCTATCATGAAAACATAAACATATCATAATAGATATACATCAACTGAGCTGTTAGCTTGCTCTCATCATGAATGTTTTTTTTGCTCAAATATCCTCTTATTTTTGTTCAGCCAAAAAAAAAACACAGCTCTAAAAAAAACACAGGTCAAATGTCACTTCTATTCTTATTCATCCTAAACAATATCATAAAAAATGAAGCACCCCAACGAACTATTTAACTCTTCATCTTTTGCCATTTCAGCTATTTGTTCCTTCCTAAACATGATAAACGATGACTCTGTAAAGCTACAATAAATCTCAAATCCATTCTAAATGCCTAAATTGCATGC